TGCCACCATGCCCGGCTTTATGACTGAACATAGAGAAATATTTTTGACTTTTAAAAACAATTGAATCTTTTGTTTTTTAAAAGATATATGGCTTTCTTGGTTAATTTATTCTCTTTCTGCTTTTGACAGATATTTTAGTTCAAAGAAATAATTGATGGAAGAAAAATAAATGCAACAACAAAAGGAAATTGCCTTCTGGGTCCAGGATACAATGTAGGAACTATGGTGGGAAGGAGAGTTGTGCTCTACTGGGAAGCTGTGCTCTAGCAGGGATAGAGAAAACCCCATAGTAATGCAGACTATTTACCTGAGTTAAAAATTTTAGGGCACTGTAAATCAACTTCCTAAAAGTCACAGAATATAACTTTAGCCCTTTGAATCTATGCCTAAGAGAAACATTTTTTTCAGTGTCTCATGATTTGAAGGTCTGCACATTTACCTCAGAAATAAGGTTAATACTTGATGTGATTTTGCAGCATTGACTGAGTCATGAACTCAGCAAATGATTGCCAAGAGAAGCAATGAGACAGTAGCTGAGGGTAGGACAGCTAATGAAACCAAATTTTCTGGTCTTTGGAAACATCCGTCCTAAGGGAAGAAGATAGATAATAAAAAGCCAGGGATGACAAGATAGTTCATTAGGTGCCGCACCAAGAAAATTAAACAAACAACTTAGACTAGTGGTATAAGTATGTCAGACTATGGCAGTAATCTAGAACTGACATTTTAGAACATCACCTTGGAGGTGATGACCAGCAACTCAATTATGGATGTATTCTGAAAAGGCTGCCAAGATTCACACCAAGACATGGTGTGAATGAAAAGGGGTGCCAGGGATGAGGGGTGTGTGTGTGTGCATGTGTGTGTCTGAGAGATGTGGTTGTCATTTGCTAAGGTGGGGAAAACAATTGTGGGAGCTTTTATCCCCAATAATAGGGTAGCTTGGTGGGTTTTGTTTTAAACTTTTTAAGTGTGAAATGTCTTTTGAAATATTCAAATGGAGCAGGAGATGTACACGTGGGTCTGAGTTCTAGGGAAGAAGTTGAGACTGAATGAAAGTGTTTTCCTCAGCATAAACGAATGTCATATGATTGGGTGATGTCATTAAAGACTGAGTTTTGGGGAATGTAGTTTAGAGGTGGAGGGGTGAGGAGGATCGAGAAAGTGAGACTGAGAGAATGGCTCCCTCAATACCAAGGTGGCTGTTCAGGATCGAGAGGATAAAGACCAGTGGTTATGGGATGTAGCAAGATGGAGGTTCTTGCTGATCCTGACAAGGGCAGTTTGGGCTGTAAGAGAAATGAGGCAGTGGTTTGGGCTGTACGAGGCAACAAAAGGAATTTTATTTTCAAGATGGAAGAAATAAAGTCTGAACTTCTTAGCTGATGGCTGTGGCTTTCTGTATCTACTGTGCTTACAGTACCTTACTACATCCACCACGGGAAGCCACCTTCACTCTGGGGTTGCAGTTTGACCAAAGGAATGGAAGATGTAATAAGATAATGGAACCAGATGATTAATGTTTGAGTAGTTTAAAGAAGAGCAAGTATTTGGTTTCACAGAGATGTTTAAATCTTTACAAAAATCAGATTTGGGCAATGGAAAGAATGAGATCAAAGTAACACAAGGATAAAGAACAGCACAGCATTCTGGGGGCTAGAATCCATATTAAGAGATGGCAACAGGGTAAGAACCTTGACCATCACTTAAAAGATCTGACTCTATTCTGTCCACAGGGATTAACATAGTTTACCCATTTGTGACAGTTCTAGAATTTAAAAAATAAAATTTTTTAGTATTTCTGTGAGAACAAATTTGTATACTTTTTCATTATAAGAAAGTTCTCTCAAATATAATCACCAGCACATGTCAGTGATAGAAAACTCAACATAAATAGATGGATTAAAAATTATAATTAAAGATTTTGCCTTACATTGGATAAAAACATTTCTAATAACCACTTATTCTTCCTTTAAATTCTAAAATGTTTTTCTTAAATTTTTGTGTATTTCATACACATCTTTTTTTAAGATATTTTATTTTTTATTTTATGTGTATGTGTGTATTGCCTGCATGTAGGTAAGTGCACCTGTGTCATGCAATGCTGACAGGGGACAGAAGAGGCTGTTGGATCCCCTGGAACTGCAATTAAGGACAGTTGTTAGCTGCCATATGGGTGCTGGATTTGAATCTGGGTCTTCTGCAAGAACAGTCAGTGTTCTTAACCGCTGAACATCTCTCCAGCCCCCATACACAACATCTTAATCACCTTGATACCCTCTTCCCTATTGGCACCTCCCATAGTGCCACCCACCCCCCACCCCGGATTTCATGCATTCTGTCATTTGTGTTAAGAGTCCCCTGATGTCCCTCAGTGCAAGTTCATGCACTGGGATCTAGTCAGCCTATCTAGAGTCACTCCCTTAAAGAACATCAGCTCTTCCTCACCCAGAAGTAATCAGTTGTTTAATAGTTCTTTGGCTAAGACTGAGGCCTGCTGCCCATTTCCACAGTTCTATGCTAAAGTCAAGCAGACAAAAATCCTTTAAATTTTTTACATTTACTTTGTGTGTATGCATGCGCATGTGTGCATGCACGTGCCACAGCACACCTATGGAGGTCAGACAACTTCTGGGAGTTGGTTCTACCATGTAGGTCCCAGGGATTAAATTCAGGCCCTCAGGCTTGGAAGCAAGTGCCTTTACCCATTGAGCTATCTTGTCAGCCTCAGACTTCCTTTTAAAATGTTGATTTATATCATTTTCATTCTCCAAAACTTAAGTAAATTCTAAGTAAATTCTTTCTAATTAATCTGTTAGGCATTTTATAACAGTCTCAACTCTTTTGAAAAATAGCCTATTGTCTATACTTTATGGAACTTTTTAAAGGCAATTTAATCATATTTCTAATTCTCAGCATACAGGACACCAGAAAGAATTTTATTATAGATAAATAAAATTTAATAGTTCTTTTAAAAAATGAATGCCTAAAATTCTTATCAATATTTATAACTACCATAAGCATGACCACACAGTGTTTATAATTTTTAGTGTAACTATCAATATGAAATTTTTAGGTAACTAGTAACTCAAGCTACTTTTCTTTTCTAACAAGGGAAGCTATTATATTGAGGAACATGAAACTGTCATTTTGTATGTCAAAAATAATAGCATACTAAACAATATTGTTAAATATAAAAATCCCAACTTGGTTCTCCCAACATTTGATAGACTGAAAAAGTGCAAATTTATAGAGATGGTTTACTCTCCCAGAAACTGCTAACACTCTATGACACATCAGCTTTCATTTAGTGTCTATTACATGAAAGTACTGTTCTCAGTGTCATAGTATCCATCCATCCATCCAACCATCCATCCATCATTTATCCATCCTCCCTCCCTCCCTTCCTTATGTTTCCTACTGGCTTAAAAAATTAATAAAAATACTGATGTGCTTATTATTAAAGTTAACTTTTTATCTAAAGCTATCTAGGCTTGAAATAATAATGCACTCGTAGAGGAAAATTTATCCATAAAAAATAGCATCATCTTATGATGGAATGGTGTTATATGACTGTTATGTTACTACCAGCAGCTAAAATAAACAATAAATTCTAATCATAGATAGTGGGTTTTAGATAGGAATTTCTGATTTTATTGTTGTCTTTTATTTTTATTTATTTATTTTTTGAGACAGGGTCTCCCTGTAGCCCAGCTGGCCTAGAGCTTGCTGTGTGGATCAGGCTGGCCTGAGTCTCACAGAGATCTTCCTGTTTCTGCCTCCAGAGTGAGTGCTAGGATTAAAGACATGCACTGCCATGCCTGGCATAAACTGGATTTTCAGTGCTTCTTTCTCTAGCCACACAAATGAGGTTTGGTATAGGAAGCAGAGAAGGAGCTGGGATGGACTGAGTTAACTTGAGACAGAGGATTGTTTTTGGAATATGATTTCAATGACAGAAAATTGGAGTTTAGAGAACTGAGGTCTAATCTCATTTCAGCACATAGAAATAATCAGTTAAACATCCTATTCCAAAGAATCACATGCTTGAAGAAAAGCCACATGCTTGAAGAAAAGTACTGTAGCACCGTAGAAGAAAAACACTGACATTTACCAAACACAGATGCTATCGTTGTGGCCACTTCCACCATAACCTCTAATCCAGAAGATTCATTAACATAATCAAATTGAAATACAACATATTTTAAATATAAAAATACTATTTTAAGTATAAAGATAAAAATACTATTATAGTATCATGAATGTTTATATCTAAAATGGTTTTTCAACTTAAATAAAACATGCCATGAAGAAAGAGGGTATCAGTTAAGTATTAGGCTTGAGTCCAAATAGGAGAGAAAAACTTATGCATTCATTCCAGCATCACTACTGGAAGGCATAAATACTTTCTCAAACACTGAGAGATACTGGTCATCTTTCTTTTTCAATTGTTTCATCAAGAAGAGTCTTTTTCAGGTGATAAAACTTACAAGCTAAATTAAAATGCACTCTGCTCATTGGCAAGCTACATGAGCAAGAATAATGTGATCACAGCACTTGGAAGTTTTTGATTTATAACTATACTATTCTCTGCTTACAAGACTGCAGTCTAGGAGGCAGAGCAATGAATCATTACAATTGTCTATCTGGGAAATGTCAAAAGATTAAGAAAGGGCAGAAGAAAGAAAAAGAAAAAAAACACATTTCTGTCTAAGAAATGCTCCTCAGATAATGGGAATGTAACAGTAGCACGTAAGTCCCAAGCTATAGAAAATAGAATTGAAAAATTTAAAGCTCTAAATAAAGCTACAAATAAACTATAATGTTTGTTTCCTGGGTAGAAGGTAAATTATCACCACAAGCAATGAAACAAAATTATTCTGTATTCAACTACAACTTGATTTACCCCATATATTGATTTGAAAGAGAATGAATTAGAAATAAAGACAATTAAAAATGGATTCTATTTTTTTTAAAAAAGAACACACATAGTTTGATACTTTGCCAATACAAAAATAAGCATCCACAGAATGTTTATTCACTGTTTAAATTACTCCATATTCTCACATACTGTGAACAGAAAATGTTTTACCACACACATAGTAAAAGCAAATAAGTGCAACCTTTTACACATTTAAAACCATAATCAGATCTGTACAACAGATAAATAAATGTATACCTCTAACAGCTTATAAAAAAACTGTCCAAAATCACCATTCTACTATGGTCACACATCTTAATCAAAAGACTTGAAACTTTACTATACTGCACAGGTTCAGATTGATAAATATTAAAAAAAAAAAAAAGGAAGGGATAAGGAAATACCAAAATGTCTATAAGGAACTTTCCAAACATTGGAAATAATACACAAAACAATTAGTGAGGAGCAATATAAGAATGGATCCACAGGTAGCTGGATTATACTGGTAGAGCCTCGGGAAAAGAAATAGGTGACTGTTTACACTGGAGGGAAAATTTGGCCTTTTTATAAAAATAAGCAATGGCAACATCCAGAAAAACAAAACCCTGCCACGGAGCTTTAGAACAAGTCTAAGAGGACAAAATGTACAACAATTTACGCTCACATATCTGAAAACCAGACAAAACGACAAAAACAAGACGTCGGGAAACATACATGGGAGCATACCGCTTATCACTCCATGTCATTGCACATATGAGAAACAATACTGCAAGTCATTCTTGAGTAGAAAAGTTTTCAGTGAAGTAGGAAGTTCCACAACAAATACAGAAGCAGACAGGATTATTATCACAAATTTAGGGAATATCAAAACAGTGGTGCTAAGCTAATTAAATTATCTGTAAGTTTTACTGGAAAGTTGATGATTTCCCTGCTTTCATACATTAACTTAAAGTCATTTAAAAATGGAAACACAGGTCCAATAGAAAAGGCTTTTCCACATGCAATCTTATACGATGCATCCTGGTTCTTTTTTTCTAAGTATTTCACATTGGATATGTACAATGCTGATATATACAACCACATATGTTCAGCAGACATCACTAAGCTGTTCCCTTGCCAAATGTTCATATTTACACTGCCACTTCCCTCTCCAGATAGATGTTCTTCTCCTCCAGGTGACACAAAGTAAGCCTGAAGAGTTCGTTTTTGAGGATTTTAGGAGCCTAGTGTTTGGATTTCTCTTGAATGGATGATAAGATGAGAAGTCCACAAAAGAATGCAGCTATACAAGCAAGCCTTTTAAAGAGACATGAGTTATCTTTAGGAATAATAATCTGTGCAAGGTCATTAGTGATCCGTGAAATTTCATGGGCTACACAAACAAAGATGAAAGTGCTGACGATGATGTTGAGCGTAGGGTTTCCAGGGATGAGGACCAAGATGCCCCTTGTGTCTGCTGCCAGCCATATGTGATACTGACAAATAAACAGCTAGGAGAAAAAACATTTCAAGTTATGTATTTACAGGTCAGGGAAGAGATCACAAGGTTTTTTTCTCTAACAAATATGTGATAGAACAGTAACATTTTAAGGCTTTTTCAACCCATTTGATTCTTCCTCACTACTGGTCCAGCAAAGCTACTGCAGTATTTACAACTTCTATACAACCTCCCTCTCTTCTAAACAAAACTATGGACAATAGAACACTGACTAGAATAGAACCCAGAGAAATTTATTTGCCTATTAAAGAAAACAACTTAATAAATCTTATACTCTAAAAAGCATCTGTTATAGCATGAGTGGTTCATATACTTAAGCTTAGAATCTGCAGAATGTTCTTCAGACCTGATGGTTTAAGCTAATTTTGTAGATAACTTCATCTTATGTAGCTCACACAAAATGGAACGAATTTAAATGTTTCCCCACAGTTTCCAATGATAGTAAAAGTGAAATTATTATAGTAAACTTTAGAAATCTGAATTTCAGTAATATTTAATTATGGAAATGAACAGAAAGTCAAAATCTCCCTAGTTTGACTCCATTTATATCTGGTTTAAGCATCTTGGTTGTGCTCAAAAGCTTAAGACAATGTAAGGACTGTTTTGAAAGTCACCTCCATGTAGTTATTATTAAATAAGTCTTTAATGACACTAATGAATCTCTCAGTTCTCATTAAAGAAGATCCCTCACGCAACAGAGGGCCAAGAACACAAAATGGTCACAAATGGCCAAAACATAGAGATCAAGAGTCTGCAGACTGATGGTCTTTGGACAGGACTCCTATATTAAACTTTACCCACCTGGAGTCAGCAGGGATCATTGTGGAAAAGGGTGCGGGAAGGCTGTAAGAGCCAGGGAGGAGGTGCATGACCATACAGAAACAGGGTCCTACAAGCTCCTGAGAACCTGCTCATATGATTCTATGGCAATGATGTCAGCATACACAAGTCCCATGCAAACCCAGACAAAAACCCAGCATAGAACTGGGAAAATGAACAGCAGAACCCAATCTTAGCTGAAGAAACATTGGCAACTCATTACCGCTAAGTGAAGAGCTGATCTTCCTAAAACAAGGGACTTTAGATAGGTTGACTAGACCTCAGTGGATGGCCTTGCACTGGGGAACCCCAGGCATCAGTGATTTGACACATTGGGCCTTAACATGGATGGCAGAGTATATGGGTTCCAGTGGGGGGGCTATGGGAGTGTGCTGGTGGGGATGGGGGGGTATAAAGATGATTAATATTGTTTGAGATATTCTGTATAAAATACACAAAAATTCAATAAAAACAAATTTTAAAAAAAGTCTTTAAAGACATTCCCAAAGGATTTACTATTGTTCCAAGTTAGTATAATCCTATATAAAATATAACTTTGATTTTAAAGAATATGTCAGATTTACACATCCACACACATATATATGTACATACATGCACATACACAAACTACATCTAGCTGTGTGTGATAAAACAAAATATTAATGTACCAACCTCTAGTGAAATTTTCCCAAACCAAGCAAAAAATGAACTGTAAACAGAACGGGCATATCCAGGGATATTCCTTATCAGAATGAAGGCTAAAATCTATGAGGAAAAATCCAAAAGTAAATATTAGCATACTTATTATTCAGAATTTCAAATGAAGCTTTAAGTGGTAATTTTACTGTCTATAGTCTTAAATTTGATACATAACAATTTTTTACAGTAATAACATATTGGCAAGGTTTTTTTTGGTTACATTGTTAAGTAACCAAACTGGGTCTCTCAGTATACTGCCTGTATACTGCTCACTATATACTAGTGTGGATTTGAGGTAATGCAAGACAGAAAAATCTTACTTTATGTATAATGGAGAAAACCTTCCTGAGGCTCTCTGCGTAGAAGGTGGCATCACATTTCTGTGCTAAAATAAATTCATGGTACAATTTTGCTCCTTTCATAGAGGATCTGCCTGGTTGAGGGTCAGCATGTTCTCTTATTTCAAAATCCTTATTGTGACTTAGATATGAGTGTCCCCCCCAAACGGATTAACCCATTGGTGAGTTCATGGGCTGAATGGACTATTAACTGGTGGGAACCGGGTAGAGGAAATACATCAATGAGGGGTATGCTTTTGAAGGATATATCTTATCCCTGAATCGTTCTACTCTATTTTTGCTTCCTGGCCATGATGAGACGAGCAGCTCCGATTTACCCCATTAACCATACAGATAGCCTGCCTCACTACAGCCCAGACACAACACAGCCTGCTGACTTTGTACTGAAACTTTGAAATCATGAATCAAATCAAGTTTTTCTCCTTTAAGCTGCTTTTCTTAAGTGTTTTGTCCCAGTGACAGAAACCCGATTAACACACAATCTTTCCTCCACTGACAGTCAGGTTAGTATGGGAAACAGGGTGACCATGAATATCTTCAGGTGTCCTCTGGCAGCCTGATGGATGACGTCTTGAACAGCATTCATATGCAGTAGTTTTCTCTCTGGACCTTTCCTTTCAGCAGTATCTACAGCTTTGGGGCTCCTTGTTGTCAGCCCTCTCTTGTATCTTTTGGTACAAGGTAGAACAGTCTTAGCTCTTCTAAATTTTCTATTTACAGTCTCTTATTCAGTAACCAGTTTATTAAGCAAATCATCACCCTTAGAATTCACCTTTCAAAGAAGCAAAAAATTATACTTAAAAAGGAGAAAGACTCAAATTTCATAATTATCTTTCTAAAATCTTCTCTTATAAAAGGATTGGGAACTCGATTTACACTTCAGAGAAAACTTCATATTCAGTGCTGTTCACCCTGTTCTTATGTCAAAGGGTGTAGGAAGTTTCTAGAGACCATAAAGAGTAAGGAAGTGAAAGGAGATATGTGGAAAATTTGATTTTTAGGAAAAACCAGCAAGACCCACTCAGGTATGATTCAATGGAGGGATACCTGTGGGCAACAGCCCCAAGGAGACTAAGTTTCAGTCTGGCCTTTTCTCTGTACCAATTCTGGGACTGTGGAAAGGCACTTAATTTTCTAGGTCTATTTCTGTACAAATGGAGATTAGCTTAACTTTGAAAGGCTGGCATGAACATTAGTATGAAAACAGGCATGAATAGTTATTATAGCATATGCTGGAAATCATTTAAAGAGGCACACTAGATGGCTAACAGTATAGGAATTACATATTAAGTGGTAAAAATCAGGAAGAGGAGACCTAAGTCTTTACAAATAAAACTATTTAATAAGTTGTTATTAATAAAGTATAATATACTTGTAATGTAAAATTACAGTGCCAGATTCTGACCACCAGGGAAGCTGGGAACGGCCCAAGGCAAGTCACTTCATTTCTTTCTATCTGTAATCTTCCATTTCCCAAAGTGTACTTCATTTCTGTATCATATTGAACTCTTATGTTTATCATACACTTAGTAAGCAAGTAGGAAAAGAGAAAACCCAAAGAAATAATAACTACAGAGAACAAGGTGAAGTCTAGGGAGCTATTCTCTATTAATTTCAAATGAATATAATGTTTAAAATTGGAATAGCATTATAACTTTCTAGGTATTGTCGTAAGCATTTTCTATATATTATGGTTAATTGTCTATTCTATAGCTAAGCCCTGCTAGAAACTTTTATCCAGAATGATAAGCAAAACCACAAAGTTCAGATTCAGAGACTGATATGGGCTGGAGATGTAGCTCAATGGTAGTATGCTTATCTAGCATGTGCTAGATCTTGGGTTTGGTTTGATTTCTACCACAGAAAGGAAAAGGAAAAGAGAGAGGGAGGGAAGGAAGGAGGGAAGGAGGGAGGAAGGAAGGGAGTGAGGAAGGAAGGATGGGTGAACATGCCTTCTAATGAGTCAGGCTAGGAACTATTTTCAAATGAAGAACTAGAAATCATGTATTTGTTTGAAATCTTAAAGGAATTTCCTCAGATAAGTTCTCTAATGATATCTATTTGTCTGTCTGTCTGTCTGTCTGTCTCTCTCTCTCTCTCTCTCTCTCTCTCTCTCTCTCTCGCATTCTCTCAATGCCCCATGAGCCACACATATACCCTCTGTTCACATCTGAGAGTAAGAATAAACTTTGGTCAGAAAAAGGATGTGGCTTACAACATTGGAAGTTTCTTAGATACTCTTAACTTCTATACAAAGTGCAGCAAATGTCAGTGAAAAGATTCAGCAGTCAATAAAGCTAATGTTCACTTCAATTTATGGTCCTTATCCATTCTTTCACTCTGTAATGGAGAATCATGGCCCTCATAACAAAGGTAACTGGAAATAGAAGTATGTGGAGGCGGCCAACCGGGAGAGATTTGGTATTATTCTACATGCATTCACTCTTTCCGTTTGTCTCCTTAAATTGTTCTGTACCACAATACTGTAAGTACTGATGCTTCCCTCTCATCCTGTGAGTCATAGCAGTCATATTTGATAAGATGTACAAAGAGTTATTGGTAAGTAGCACTGCTATCCACAAAAGTAAAAGAATACTATACAGAGACAGTATGAAGTTGAAAACTTCATTACCAATTACATCTGGAGAATCTCTTACATGTATGGTGCTATTGAGTATACAGAGGCTCCAAAGAAATAAAATTGTGCCTGCATTGAAGAGAACTAAGGACTAAGACACTCCAGAACTCTCCATGCTCCTCTTGGCTAGACTACTCATATTTCAGACTTTAACTTAATCACAATTTCCTCCAAGAACCCCGCTCTTATATCAACAAAAGTTAGAAAGAACACCCAAGCTTCCCAAGCAATCTGTGCTTAACCATCCCCACACTATGATTACACCCTGTCATTATCTACATTTACCTCTGCAAAAAGTAAATCTGATTTGAGTTGTCACCAACCACCAACATTTTCAGGCATTATCACAAATTTCTCTAGAAGTATGTGGCCTTTTGGGGTTCAGCCCCAGTGGCCCGCTTTAAGCTCCCTGGATATATCATGGTCCTATCCACTGTAGGACCTGCTGAAGGTGCCTCCATTTTCAGAGAATCATCTGAGATCCCTGACCACTTTCCCTTCTATTCCAATTAGGTCACCCTTTATTATGTTCTCTAATAATATAATACATTTCTAGTTATGTGTCCATTATCTGATAACTATATGTAACAGAAGGTTGGAGCCTCTATAAGGGTAGAAACGATGCTGGATTTGGTTATCACTGGAATATCTAAGCATGCAGAATCAAAAGTTTATTAAATGAATATAAAGCATTGTCAAATAAATGAATGTGTACTGATCTACTTCTCTATTAAAACTATAAATTTCTTCAGGACAAGAGTAATATCTTGCTTAACACTGATCTTTTTAGTACTAGCATGGTACTTAACATAGTAGGTAATTAATAACTAAAATTAAATAAATTTGAATAAATGTTGAAAAGCAAATATGAGAAAAGAATTAAAGTTTTTGTGTGTGTGTGTGGGAGGGTGTGTGTGTGTACGCATATATAGAAGAGGGAGGTGGACACTGGGTGTCTTCCTCAACTTCTTTCCATCATATTTTTGGTTTGGTTTTTGTGGGGATTTTTTGAGATAGGGTTTCCCTTCAAGCCCCAGCTGGCCTGGAACTAGTTATGTAGACCAGGCTGGTCTACAATCATGTCCTGCTGCAACCTGGCTTTTTACACAGGTGCCAGGGACTGAACTCAGGTCTTCATGCTTGTGCAGTAAGCACTGTACCAACTGAATCATCTCCTTCGCACTAGAATTAACATTTTCTAAATTACAAATTCTTAGCTGGATCTTTTCTGAACATGAAAAATAATAACCCTTTGAAAGTGATTTCAATATCCTTATTTCTCAAAGGAAGATAGGGCTTAGAAAGATTAAGTAACTTCCCCATATTTTCTGGAGCCTGAGCTCAAATCTCTTTATTCCTCTATATTTCAACAGAAAAACTAGAAGTAAAAAAAAAAATTCTCTAAATCAAAATAATTCTCTGGAGCTGAGCATGATGGCAATGCCATAATCTCAACACCTGGGGCCTGAGGCAAGAGGATCACAAGACTGAGGCCACCATGAGCTGTGTAGCAAGATCCTATCTAGAGAAAAAGCAAGAAAGAATTACCTGAACCACAGAAACAGATGGGTGGAGCTCATTACACTCAGCTTTGTTTTTACAACTGCTAGCCCAGATGGAATAGGTCTAAAACAAGAAAGTACAGATCAGTTCACAAAAACAGGCAAATCTTCCACGCTCATAAAATAGAATGCTGCAGTAGTTTTCTGTTTTATGACATTATAGTTCACTATGCTATATAAAAAGCTTAGTTCGTTTTGTTCATCACTTGTTTTAGCAGGATTAGCATCCAAACAAGAAAGCAGAGACAGGAACAGAGATGTGGGCTTTTCTGGAAACAGTGATCACGAGACAATGCTGGCTCTTCACATTAAATACTACACAGTATAATTTCCCAAATTGATTGTAACGTTTAAAATTCCTATTCTCAGTTATCCTTCATACTTAATTTATATATGCATTCTATCAATGAAACAAATACAATAAAAAAGAATTTAGAGGTAATTATTTATTAAAAGTAATTCATTGCACTTTTTTGTTTTAAGGTTAACTTTCGATATCATTTAAAGATTTGAAAAATTAGAAGTTAGATTTTGAAACTTACCAAGAAAGAAACTACTGAAATAAACAATAGAAAATTTGAAATTTTGTTTGAAAACAGAGGTTCACCCTTTCCTTCAGAAAGCACTTGGCGTTTCTGCAAAGCCAGATAAAAGAAAGCAAACAGCATTCCATGGAAGACTACCTGAAAACAACCAACAGAAAACTTGTTTTACAGAGTTCCTTCTTAAAATGGTTACTGAAAACTGTGTGAATATAAATAAGCAGGTTAGATGCTTTGGAGTTGCTATGAAGAGATTAAATTTCAAGACCAAAACTCTGAACGGTGAAATAAAGGTAGTGGTTATTACAAAGCATCAATGGGACAAGCAAACATCTCCCCGACAGAATGAGGTAAAGCTGGTTCCCTAAGTCCACACAGCAGCTAGCCAGGGAACAAGGACAATTTATTTTTTCCAGTGTTGGAGACTGAACTCAGGACCTTGTATATGCTAAATACCAACTCCTCTGCTGAGCTACCCTGCTTCAACAATTTAAACATGATAAACTCTTCTAAATATTCCCAATGATAAGACACATTTTATAGAATCCTTTATCAAATCAAATACTATCACCAAATAATATTTTTAAGCAGGAAACTATATACATGTATATAATATATAATATGTATATATGTAATATATAACATATAATATGGCAGAGCAGAAAGCACATAAATTTTCTCTTTTAAAAAAATACATAAATCAATACAGACAATGTGATTTATCACTGCAATGGACTGAGCAATGGACTGAATATTTGTGTCCCCCAATTGCCCCCTCCCCAGCCTCAAAAAACTCCCCAATGTTTCAACCTAATTTCTAAAGTGACAGAGACAGTTTGTACATAGAGTATCTGGGAAGTGATAGGGTCATGAGTTTGGAAACTTTATAAATGGGATTAATGCCTTACAAAAGAGACCCCAGAGAGCTTCCTAGTCTCTTGCACACGAGAACATGGCTGTCTATGATCCAGGAAGTAGGCCCTCACCAAACACTGAATCTGCTGGCACCATGAGCTTAGATTTCCCAGCCTCTGGAACTGTGAGAAATGTTTTGTTCAGGAGCCAAACAGGCCATGCTATTCTACTTGAGTGGCCCAAACAGATTAAGACAAGCACATCACTGCAGATGACTCTAATGACACTTTAGCAAAGGCTTTTGATTCATGTGTGGTTTGAAAATACATTAAAGTATACCAGAAAATACACAAATGTTAGAAACCAGAATGTCACAGAATAGTTACTAAGAAAACACACTGAAAGAAAAGAGGTGAATCAAGAATGGAAGAATAAGAGGAAATCAGTACTGACTTAGTCTTATTTTCTAAATGTTCTGCCAGATACTTTACATTTTCTTAGCCAAATTATATGAGCTATTTAAGGTGAAGTACACAGAATGATCCAATATGTTGCTGCTGCTTCTCTGCATATAACCACCACAGAATCCACACTGCATAGCTTAATACCCTCTTATAACAGAAGTCTTAGATTTTAGGTTAGTCTGTAAAGGCTTAGCAGCCCAGGGTATTTCTTCTTTCTCTAACATATACTTTACAACACCAACATCTGAAACAACAAAACTCAATAAAAGATTGAGCTGAATGGTAGAAGCATGCATATGTGAATCACCTATAAATTAAATTGTTAAGTCAGAAACTATTTTATAGACACTATTCAAAAATATTTTCCTGCTGATAAAGATAGGCAAGCATCCTCACTTCCTGTTGTAAAGAGAAAAAGAATGTGTGGGCACTGCTCTGAATTATTAAATCAACATGTTTCTTTGCTAAAACTAAACACAAATAGACAAGAGTTCAAATAATTTTCCAACAGTATAATTTGAGACAGCAAAATATCATAAAGTAAATACATACATAGCGGTCTAACCTCCATCTGAACCACCATTCATATACATTTCCTTTCAGTTCAAAACATTTGGATAATGGCCAAAGAGAAAATATCTTCTCAAATGCACCCTAAAAAAGGAACAGAGAAAATATTAAGATAATACAAGCCAATACTCATTTCATAATTCTACTATATACTATAGTATTCTTTACTTAGGATTATACAAGGGCCAATTTTAAAGTTCTGTTTAATTAATTTGAAAATATGGCTTCATTTGAAATTCACTTAAAAATAAATTTATTTTACCAATGGCCAATAAGGATTACTTAGAACTTTGCAAATTTATTTGCCCTTCGCATGAAAGCTATTGAGACTGCAAAAATTTGAAAAAACAAGCAAAAACGCTAAATTAACAGTTAAAAAATTATTCTGTTTTAGAGTTTTAATCTAGTACACAAACAAATATTTACAAATTACTTCACAAAAATACAAAATACTTCAGTTAATATGGTATCAGAATGATTCAGGTTAAAATACAATTTATTTTCTGTTAATGCACTTGATAATCTGTAATTATTAGAATTATAAGTGCTCTCTGCATTGGTACTCTAATCAACTATCCTTGATGCTATGACTAAGGATTTGACTCTGGTCCAGTGAGTGAATAGCACCCTCTTAGTAATCTGACAACCTGGGAAATGTGAGAATGAAGGGGCAAAAGTCTTGGTTGCATTCCTGCACATTAATGAAGTTTTTCAAAGAGGACAAACCCTCAATTTCTAGACTAAAGAGTGATGGCAAATTCTAGTAAGGAAAGCCCCACCCCTGGACCTACTGCCACGACATAAAAAAATACTAAAAACTAATTCTAAAAATCTAAAGAAAAATATGAAAACAATATTTTAGGTACTGCTGAATCCTTAGGTTTGAATTTCATTACTTTAACAAAATATTGCAGTCTCCATTTAACCACAGAACTTAAAATACACACAACACATTAAACACAGAGATGTATAAAAATCTATGCCTTAGAAATTTTCCATTGACTTTTATCAAGAGTTGCAAAATAAAGTTCTCTGGGCTGTGTGTGTGTGTGTGTGTGTGTGTGTGTGTGTGTGTATGTGTGTGTATAGATATGAGCAGATACATACCATAACAGGTATGAAAATATTAACTATGCAGAATAACTATATATAATGTATATATACATATGCAACTTAAAATTTTAATTCCATTTAAAATTTATTTATTATGTGATCAGTAAACAAGTTTCACTGAATACTAACCTATTAAAAAGACAATAGTTGCCTTGGACTGTGAACTTTTTGTTTCTCCAGGGGTAAACACTGACCCCAAACTATTCCCTCTATTAAATCGCCAGCTTCTGTTTCTTTCCTTAAAAGTACCCAGTGAGAACAGGTATTTTAATGAGCAACTATCAAGTAGTTATCACTGTTACCTATTTCTTTATGCATTGGCCTGTTGTTTTCTTATTTATATCATAACAAACTCTGGATGTTGTGTAGAAATAGAAATGTTTTAAATATTCCTAAGTATAAAAATAAATATAAAAGCCTACCCCCCAAAAATGCTCTTCAGAATTAAATTACACTCACATACACTCACATAATCACACACACAAATATACCTAAGGGGCATTTACACATGACACAGATTAGTGCAAAACTGCCAGCGATACGAATAGACTGCAGCTTATGTCAAAACTATAGGTATTCAAACTAAAATAAATATTTTGTTATGAGTAAGATGCTACCCAAATAAAATGTCTGCCTGATAGACTTAACCAGCAGGTAGCAGACTTCCATTCTGTTAAATCAACAGAGAATTTCAACTATCAAAACAGAGACGAAAGGTCAGAGCTACAAAAATGTCCCAAATCTTCATTAAGTTAAAGGTATAACATGTATACAAACCCCTCTGCACCTAAGTTCACTTTACTAACTTCCTCAAATTTACTTTGTGTAGTTATAGAAATATCAAGTAACAGTTTGATGCAATGAATAATGCACAAACTAAACTGCAAATTCTGTCAAGAGAATTTTGATCTCTGCTTAGAACAGTGCCGCACAAGAGGCATTCAATAAATGTTTGATTGAACAAAGTCAAGTAAAATGGAGCTTGAACAATTGCCAGAGGAAGAGCTTAAAATTGCTCTGACAACAAAAACAGTAGTAACAAAAGTAGATAGGTCTCAAAAGAACTACATAGTCAACCACCAGAATGACACTTTCATTACAGTCATCAAAGAAGAAGCTAAGAAAAAGCTCTAATCCTTACATACCTTAATAGACTTGAATGTTAAATTATCATAAAACATAAACTGAAAAAACTGTACCAACCTGAGAATATGCCAAAAAGCATATGCACAGCAGCAAAAAGGCTAGTTTCAACAGTAAGCCAAAATGCCAGAAACAATTTCCTAAAAGAGAAAATATTGAATTTACTAAGCAATATAAATCTATATTAGAAAGCTAATTAAGGACTCTCTACTTAACACACTTGTAGCTGAATAGTTCTCAAAATAATAATCCTTACATACAGATATACATAAAATATGTCTAGGTTGCATAAATCAAATGTAGGCCAGAAGAAAAATCAATGGAGAATTATTTCTAAGAATAAAGCTACAATGCATACCTGCTGTTCACCTGCTGTAGATATACTTAAGTACCTCTTGGATGCAATTATGTCTATTTATTATTGAACATTTCAACTAAGAGCAGAATTACATGTTCAATGAAATGCTAAAACTCATGTTAAATATTAACTTATGTGATACTGCTTAAACATTAAAGTTCCAGAGTGAATATATGACGTCCCTGGGATTTAATCATAAGGCACATTTTAACATATGCATGTTTTAAATTATGGGTTCAAAGTGTATGCATATTGATCAACAACCTAAATTTTTATAGAGGAATTAATTGTACACTAGATCTATAGACTGTCCAAAGATCCTAATGAAGTTTAAAAGAGGCTGGAGCTCAACTTTCCTCAAAAATTATTTTAATATTTTAAGGGAAGGCAGAATCTTTTTGTTTGTTTCTTCATTTGATTTTTTTTTGAGACAGGGTCTTACTATGCAGCCCTGGCCTGGAACTTGCTATGTAGACCAGGCTGGCCTCAAACTCACAGAGATCCACCTGCCTCTGCCTCTTGCATGTGCTATCATGCCCCACCAGATATAACTTTAATGTCCAAAAATAATTTTTTTGAAAAAAGAAGATTTCATTTTAATGATGCAGTGGAGAGGGGGTGGGCATACAATAAATGACTATGACCTTACTTTGAACATAACCAGTAACAGGCTATGAGAAATTTGGAAATGACAACCTATGGGTTCTTGAGTTCCTTATATGCAAGACAAATTAAAATGGTAATTGTGTAAAAGACTGTGCAGAAGATAAATGATAAACTTTCACATATGAAAGCATTTTTATTCAAAATCTCCTTATATATTAGGATGGAGGAGGAGCCTGAAGCCCCATTTGGCTTTTCCCTTCTCTCTTCTGCTTCCCCCACTCTGTTGCATGCAAGGCAGTTTGAAAGCTGCCACATTTGTTAAAGTGAAGATACATAATATAAATGGAAACTGGTATTCTGCAGTGTAATTATATTCAACAGTGAGCTATTTGGCTGTAGTATTTTAGAAACAGTTTAAAAACAAGATGCCTAAACTACACATAAATTTGAATGGTCTACATTTCTTAATAAAAAGAATAGCCTTTAGCACCTAAAATTAATCTAGTATACTGAAAGAACACATTTATTAACATTAGTGAGAAGGTATATTTACCATTTGCTTTTTTTTGGATTATTTGTGGCCACAGTGCTAAAGTAACATATATGACCATGAACCACACGGTGACCAAGGGGACAAAGTAATAGAATTGATAAGGCCGATCCATTACTATACATAACACCACAACCAGGAAATTCAGACGAAATAAGACCTATGAAAAAGGAGAAGAAAATGTTTTTCATTCCAGGTATATGAAAGCAAAGACAGATTTTCTCTAACGCAGTAATAACACTTAAGACTCAAATAACCACCATACAAGTATATTTTACTAATCCCTAAAGCTCATTTGTCCTATAATCACTATAGAGAGGTGAATATAACATATTTATGTTATCATATTAATGAAATTCCAGTAAAGTGCTAGCTTGAGCTGTCCTCAAGCTATAACTTTCTTGCTAAAATGTGTGGGTGGGTGTGGGGGCGGGGGGATCACAAGCCTCCTTCCTAGGGCTATAGTTCATAGGCAGAGATTAAATTACCTCAAGAAAAGATTGTCCATTTCATCTCTTGTTTGATATTACCCATTTGGGATTAAATTGACAGGGGTCATAGATCCAAAGTAAAATCACTCAAATTAAAAAATGTCTTTGTGACTTTTGTAACAATCATTTCAGATATGTTTGAAGTGATTAACAAAACAGAAAATATGAACAGATTTCTGTGTCTGTACCCACTCAAATAGTGAGTAGATTACTGACCCTCTCTGAGCCTCAGTTCCCTATGCATTATCATGAAGATACCTCAGGGCTGCAAAGGTGTGTAAGGAAAGACCTGTCTGGAAGATGAATAGCACAGGGCAGAAGGTTAATAAGTATTAATCCTGTTCTTAGAAAGAAAAGCATGATCAAATTCAAGTAACCATACATTTCTATAAAAGTAAAGAAGAAATGTTTTTCCCATATGCACCTAAATTCTATTTTCCTTCCATCACTAATAAATAAATAAATCTCAAGTTACTAAGCACTGAACATAAAAACATAACTTTAGGATGGTATTTCATAAATTCAAATGGCTCAAGGTCTTATAATGACATTTATATTTTCTTAACAGACAGAAAAGCATATCAAATTGAAGGACAAAGAAAATAACTGACTGCATAGACTTTTACCTGACAAACTCTATGGATTCCAAAGTCTCCTTTGATCCAAAAGTATGAGAAATGCCCATACCCGGTCTGAAACAGATACGCAGCAACCAGCACCCGAATGTGCATGTACACAGGCAAGAACTGTTGACAACATAAACAGGGACAGTGTGCAACGACATGAATGGTACCTGCATTACTCTGGCATTCATATTTTCCTAATGAATGAAAAACAAAACAAAGCCCCACTTTTCTGGCAATGGCCAAATGACTACTTATAACATCTAATTTGCTTAGAAAAACAAAACAAAACAAACCTTCAGTCAGAGCCTACCTAAAAATACTAAGGGCTGGATATAATTCAGTGGTGAAGAGCTTGCTAGCATGTCCAGGGCCTTGGGTTGGATCACCAGCACTGTAAAATCCCCAAATCCTATTCTCCTGCAGAGCCAAAATCTAAATCTTTACTACTAGACAAAAGTTATTTCTACTTCTTCTGAGTTACTATACGCCAATGATCTATCAATACATCAAACACAGGGTTTAAAAAAAAGATTTACTACTTATATGTTTGTGTGTGTGTGTGTGTGTGTGTGTGTGTGTGTGCGCACATGCTTGTGAGTATTTACAGAGGCCAGAAGAGAAAGATGGATCCTCTGGGGATCTTGAACTGCATAATGTGAGTGCTGGGAACCAAACTTGGGTTGTCTGGAAGAGCAGCAAGTGCTCTTTCCCACTGAGCTATCACTTCAGTCTCTCAGTTTCTATCTACTGTTTTTCACCATTTGCTTTTTCTTCTAAATGTCTTACTTCATTATTAGATGAGACTTTTCAATGAGGGTATAACCATATTAGAATCACAGACATTAAAAGTGGAACTGTGTAACTGAAAAAAACCCTCATAATCTATCTAATAAAAATCTGTGCCGATTCCATTCTTGACTCACTCTACAAGGTCTCCTGTAAGAATCTGTCTGTTTTTTCCTCCTTTTGAAACAGGGATGTACTATGTGGCCCAGGTTGATCTCAAACTTGTGATCTGCTCTGTCTCAGCTTCCTGGCTGTGGGATTCTAGGTATACATCATCATACTAAGGTCTAAGAGCTTTTTTAATATTGGAAAATACCCTGACTAATACAGAAGTCGATTTCACTTTCAGTCACTGTTATAAAATTCCTTTCCATGAAAAGCTGAAAAGAAACTACATGTAAAGGCTATAATTTCAGGTCTTTAAGAGCAGCCTGTCTAACAGAAGTAAAAGGAAGTCTTGTCAGTGATTTTTAAATATTAAAAAATTTAAAAAAACAATGAATCCAATTTTAATAAATATATTTTAACTAGCTATACTGTAAGTGGCTACTTGGCTAACACAGTAGAGAGTGTAGCAGAGGGGTCACAAGCGTGAGGTATCGCCTCTCCTTGTCTGTATTAGAAAAAAGATGCTAAACCTAGGCTGACCATTCTCAATTACTTTAACCCCCTCTCTATAAAGCATATTTTCAAGTTCCTTCAAGACTGGGACTGAAAAGTTGGGCTTGTTTATTTTTTTTTTAATGTGTATGAGTATATTGCCTGCATGTGTATAAGTGTATCTGTATCATGTAATGCCTGACAGAAGAAGGTGTCAGATTCCCTGGAACTGGAGTTATGGATGGTTGTTAGGCACCATGTAGGTGCTAGGAACTGACCCCAGGTCCTCTGCAAGAGCACTCAGTGCTCTTAATCTCTGAGCTATCTCTCCAGCCCTAGGCTTATTTATATTTAAACAGTAAATAAAATTTGCTTAAACTGAAATAATGTCACAATAATTTTCCAAGTTCCTGCCAATGTTGGCTTATCACAAATTTTATGTAATATTTCTTCGAACTTTTTATTGTTAGATATTTTAAACCAACAGAAAAGTTGTAAGACATACAATAAAGGCAAATACACTATGGTAAAAACTTTTAAAGTATTTTGTAGGACATGTAGACAGTATTAAATATTTTACCATGTATGTTACAGGAAGGAAGATAATTTCTTATGTGGCTATATTATCATTATCATGGTCAAGAAATTTAATACAAGTAGAACAGTATCTATTATATAATCCAATCTAAGTTTCTCCTTAAATTTGTCTGCTGGACATGCTGGTTTATGTCTATAACCCCAGTGGCAGAGAGAGGCAGGATACAGAATTTGGGGCTAGCCTAGGCTACCCTAAGTGAGGCCCTGTTTCAAGAACTCAGTTCAACCTAGGCTACCCTAAGTGAGACTGCATTACAAAAAACCAAGGGCTAAAGAAGTAGCTTAGTGGAACAGTCCTTGCCTAACATGTACAAAGGTATGGATTTGATCCCCAGTCCTGAAAACAATTTTACATTTTAAAATAGAAGAACCTCAAATCATTTAATTCTCACACCTCTTCAGTTTCTTATTTTCTATTTTGTCTTTCATGAATCAAGATTTCAATAAAACTTTAGCACTGAAATTCTATTTGAAAGTTCGGCTTCATTAAAGACCTGGGCTGACTTTGGGTTCTATTCCTTTCTATTCCCTCAAAATTTCACTTACTATACCCTTTATTCATGTCTCTCAAAAAAAAAAAAAAAAAAGAAAGAAAGAAAAGAAACTGAGAGTCATCTACATTATATACTTTCACCATTTCAAGTATATTTAACATAAATCTTACTCAAAGAATGCTTATGCCAATAATTATAATCTGCCAGATCACCTGGACTGTTTGATGATTCTCTAGAATGTTTAAGTCAGTTTCCCTTCTAGCATAAAAACTATAAAAAACTATAACGATGTATTTTACTTAAAACATTAAGACTAGGAAATTAAAATATCATGGAAGATAAAGTTTTTACTAAGGTAAATCTTTCAATTACCTACAAAGGGAATCCCAAATACCTTGTGACCTATATGAACAATACTTTCCCAGTAGGGATACAGGTAATTTTTAAGAACAAAATTGTGTATAATAGAACAGGCATACATAATTAATCATTACAAATGATCTGCTAATGAAAAGTATGTCCTTCCAGAACACAGTTTTTTTTTTTTTTTTTATTGTAAATGAGAATGTATTGGGAGGTAGTCTAAGAAGATGTATTAAATGTTGGGCTGGTAAATGATTATAATAGAATGCCAAATTGCCTTCATTCTTTTACTATCTAATTCCTTTCTGGAATCACTGAATTGAGGAACTTAATCTGCCATTAATTTTTTCTACCTAATTTCTTTGATAGAAATATCACTCTTTAATATGTCAGCAATTAATTATGTCTCTAAATGGCATGTTTTTAAAACAGAACACTTCCCCCTCTCCAAATTAACTCAATCCTTACTCATAAGTCAGAGGTATTTCTGGATCAATATTCCCCTCTCTATGTCTTAGAGAACCTATGGACTGATGCTCTAAATACAGCCATGTCTTTCACTGCCTCTGCTGAGCCATAGCTGCTCAGAGCCACTGCTGCAGCTCAAATACACAGTTGCAAGGATCACAGGAATCTCACTTCTGCCACAATACACATATCATAACCATACAATTTCAGAAAGGAATACACTTCATTCATTTGCTTTCTGCTTTCAAATAAAACATACATAAAATCAGATGTTCAACAACTTTTGAAAATAATAGATAAGGAAGAATGTTGATTTCAATTTTTAGAAAACCCTCTAATATTAGTATCATTTGCATTCTTAATTTCTGCTATGGAATTTTAAAAATATTTCTTTCTAGGCACTCAACTCTTATCTCTATCATTAATTCAAATAGTGTTTATATGAAACAGTTTGATGCTTCACAAATTATGTGTTTCTAACTTTAAATTTTAAAACATCTTTTCAAGTAAGTTTGTATCTTCATTATAAAAGCTTGTGTGCCAAGTGGCTCAGCCACAAGGTTTGTTTTCACTATTCTATAGGTAGAATTTTACAGCTCAGAATCTGTTTTCCTAGCCCTGCCAGATCTAAGGTAGTCATGGATCATAAAATTCCTAGGAAGAAGGGAAAGAAAAAGGATTTTGTCTCAGTTCAGAGGCACGGAGGTGACTAAAGGAAGGGTCTTCCACAGCAGGAGGAGCAGCTTCTTAAGCAGGGCACACCCTACATGTCTTCAGAAGTCCACCTCTGTCTGTCTCCTCTACACACTGGGCAAAAGACCTCTGAGTTTAAAATTTTTCAAAAAGTAAAAATAATCAAACTTTCTAAAACACAGTGAAAGGTAGAATATAAATTTGATTTCTTTTGATAGTAACTACACTATTCTAAATCCTTTTGTCATTTATAAAGCTTCCTGATAACTTTAAATTAGCTGTTCAACAAGATGACATCAGATAATAATACCCTTAGAAATCAGCTACTTCTATTATATTAAGAACAAGTAAATACAAAAATCAGTTATTATCTCATCTTTTTTCAAAGAAATTTGATTTTTCTTTTAAAATGATCAAATTTTCAAAGACTCAGGGGATAAGTGAAAAGATAAACCAACTGGGTGGGAAGTAAGAAAGGTCTCTGATAGAGAAGACAAAAAACCCTGGGCCCCTAAACAAACCCTGAAGCAATATTACCGCCTATATTTTGTGAACTTAGATTCAAAGTACTTACTGTACTTGCTCCAGAGATGTGATAAATCAAAATCACAAGTTGCATCCAGCCTTTCCATTCATCTGTTTGTTCTCTATTTAATACTTTAGTCTGCATAAAGAAAAATCTGCTTCAAAATCCATCAGGAAGTAATTATTTGGACAGAAAATATTAAGTATGTAACATTTTTCTTATACTATATAAAGCTAACATTCTGTCAAAAGAATCTTGATTGGGGGAAATTGCCTCTTTTTTTGCTAAAAGATATAATAAAACTATTTAGAATATGAGTTTGAAAGACAACTACAATGAGATTTTGAAGAGTTCAGTCAATCCTTCAAGTTTTATATTAAAATGACATTTAAACTATGATAGATGGGAGTATTTATAGATCTAAAGATGGCATTCTACAATTTTCTTTACAAAATTTTAGAATTTCAGAGTTAAAAAAAAGACCTCCCAATTCTCTTATACTTCATTGACAGAAAGAGCTCCCTGTTAGTAGTCTATTGTTCTTAGTATACTCTCACTGGAGATGAACAACTGATTAATCGTACTCACATGAGAATTAATTTTTGCAAAAGAATTTGTTAATTTAAATAGGAGATCCCCTGTAGAGAAGTTATACAAATAATTCTGAGCAATGACTGCACTTCCAAATCAGGAAATTCAGAATATAAGTAGTGGCAATATCATCATGTAAGTTCTAATTTGAGAGGACATGTCTGACTGGTAAGTATATAAATATAAAATATTTTTCTGCTATGGCAGCATTTCTTACTGAAATTACATTTTTTACATCAATGCTAAAAACTATCTAGTACTTAAAGGGGTTTACTTTTCTCCAGCCTGAGGGAGTAAACACACCAGTCATGACATCTTTTCAGTCTCACTTTCCAACTCTGTAACCTGCTGCACCTGCTCCACACTTGTTTGCAAGGCAATGATTACAACCTACACAGTGAAGTGTAGCTAGCTACCAAAGCCCTTTGCTCTCATCTGTACATACTGTTTGTATATTCTGGAACAAGAAATGGTAGTAGTTCTTTAATACCGATTTTTGTAATGAGATAAAAAGATGGCAGGAGCTATGAAAATGCTTCTTACCTCTTTAGTATTTTCATTGTAAAATACTCCCAAAACCAAGATGTAGATAATTGGAATAAAAAATGATGAATGTGTATAAAATTTGTTTTCCTTCATAAACAGATTTGCACGGTCACACATATAGAAATAAGCCATAATCAGTCCAAGTTTGCAGAAAGACTGTAAAAGTATTTCTAATGAAGACACAGGAGTATTGATAATATTTTTCTTTTCCTCTCCACTTTCCAAATCAGCACATGGTTTATTCTTCCGATGAGTATTACGATGAATTATATAGAAAATTAAATATCCAATAATAGATAGAGTGAAAAAACAGGCAGCTAGTTTCTGTATAAGGGTAAGAGGAGGCTGAGGTTGACAACAGGAACCATCTATTGGCTTCAAAATCTTATTGCAATACACATTCATGAGAATCATTGCACTCTGTGAACAAATAAGGTATTTGGTTATTAGCTTGTCAGTGATGTATTTCACATTCAGTTTTCTGTGAATACTGATAGATTTTTGACACAGAGGCCAAATGCTCTTGTAGTTTTTGCAACTCTTTCCCAAACACTCATTCAGACCCTGGTATTCCCTCATTCTGCTGTAGCTACTTCAGGTGTCTCAACTTTCTGGGGCTAAGATACATAATAAGACATTTGTTTTAAAATGTGACCCATAATACATAAGAAACAATATCTACCCTTATTACTTGGAATGCACTGGTATGGTTCTATTCTTTTAGAAAACAAATGAAAAGCTCTTGGATTTTATGACTACTAATAGACTGGTTTAAAAAGAAACTCACAGATGTCAAAAACCAAAATATTATAATTAGTAGATTTCCAAAACTGAAGAAATCAGAATTAGTTAAGATGGACTCTCAATCTTTAGATAAGAAAAGAATGAAAAATAGCTACTACTGAAAAATCACTAATTTGCAGCTAATAATATTTGTGATGTCTTTTATTTAGTTCATAGCTTATAGATAATTTATGACTACAATTTTAAGGTTTCCAATGCCAAATAAAATGTGGAATTTTCAACATAGTTTGATTGTAATAAACTTATTTTAGGTAAGCTGTCAAGATTTTGTCAAGCTGAAGGTTGAGTCAAACTCTAGATTCATGAAAACTTCACAGCTTAGGTATCTGCAGAATTCTACATGATTTAAGCCTAAGCTGTCAAAGTACACAAATATTTAGAAAATCTTATCATTCAGCCTTCAAAGTTCAGGAAGTTCCCTGGCTGGCATTCTCACAGACCCTAGCCTCCAGATTCTGTCATAAGGTTCTTAACTATCTTCCAGAGTCTTCAATGCCTGTTAATGTATATAAAGAGGAATGTACATGCAAATAGACTCTTTCTGTAAGAGAAGAATGGAACCCGGCATTTTATCAATCAAAGGCTGATATGAACCCTTAAGGTAGTTAATAAAATGGGGCTTTGCAACCCAATCCTAAAGGTAGAAAGGCTTCATTCATAGTTGTGCTACAAGCAGTTCAAGAACTGAATACAAGCAACATCGGTATTTTATTTTTCCTTAAAATCTAAGTTCTTCCTAACAAATGCATTTTAAGTTTATAGAATTCCTTGCTGGCTTCTTGTTATAATAAATAGACATGCACTACCTAAAATCTTACATGGCAATACTATATGGCATGATACTCATGAGGTTATTTGGTGTACA